AATAGGTGGACAATCCTATTACTGCAACTAGGCAACCTTCAAAGAGGTGTTGTCTTTGGGGAAAAACCCAGACAAATGGACACAATGATCAATGTCAATCCTCTTCACTTTAAGAGGGGCAATAAATATTAAAGGGAGAAACTACCTCTCATCACTTCCTCAAATGTCCAAAATATAATGGAATTCGAAGGGATACTATCCAAACAGTCTCTTGTATAAATCGTTAGTTTAGTTGGGGACAGTTTAAAGTCTGATGTGGACAATAAGCAAATGTTTCATTAAGTTTCTGAATATATAAATGAAACAAAACATTTTGAAAGTTGACCTTGTATATGTCTTTATTATTTATTTATATTGATGTCAAATCCAGTGGATTGCCAGTAATGGACTATAATCCGATATGTGTGTTGGTTCCAGTAATGACCTTGTATATGTCTTTATTAGTTATCTATATTGATGTCAAATCTAGTGGATTGCCAGTAATGGACTATAATCCGATATGTGTGTTGGTTCCAGTAATGACCTTGTATATGTCTTTATTAGTTATTTATATTGATGTCAAATCCAGTGGATTGCCAGTAATGGACTATAATCCGATATGTGTGTTGGTTCCAATAATGACCTTGTATATGTCTTTATTAGTTATTTATATTGATGTCAAATCCAGTGGATTGCCAGTAATGGACTATAATCCGATATGTGTGTTGGTTCCAGTAATGACCTTGTATATGTCTTTATTAGTTATCTATATTGATGTCAAATCTAGTGGATTGCCAGTAATGGACTATAATCCGATATGTGTGTTGGTTCCAGTAATGACCTTGTATATGTCTTTATTAGTTATCTATATTGATGTCAAATCTAGTGGATTGCCAGTAATGGACTATAATCCGATATGTGTGTTGGTTCCAGTAATGACCTTGTATATGTCTTTATAAGTTATTTATATTGATGTCAAATCCAGTGGATTGCCAGTAATGGACTATAATCCGATATGTGTGTTGGTTCCAATAATGACCTTGTATATGTCTTTTTAGTTATTTATATTGATGTCAAATCCAGTGGATTGCCAGTAATGGACTATAATCCGATATGTGTGTTGGTTCCAGTAATGACCTTGTATATGTCTTTATTAGTTATCTATATTGATGTCAAATCTAGTGGATTGCCAGTAATGGACTATAAATCGATATGTGTGTTGGTTCCAATAATGACCTTGTATATGTCTTTATTAGTTATCTATATTGATGTCAAATCTAGTGGATTGCCAGTAATGGACTATAATCCGATATGTGTGTTGGTTCCAGTAATGACCTTGTATATGTCTTTATTAGTTATTTATATTGATGTCAAATCCAGTGGATTGCCAGTAATGGACTATAATCCGATATGTGTGTTGGTTCCAGTAATGACCTTGTATATGTCTTTATTAGTTATTTATATTGATGTCAAATCCAGTGGATTGCCAGTTATGGAGTATAATCGGACATGTGTGTTGGTTCCAGTAATGATCTTGTATATGTCTTTATTAGTTATCTATATTGATGTCAAATCTAGTGGATTGCCAGTAATGGACTATAATCCGATATGTGTGTTGGTTCCAGTAATGACCTTGTATATGTCTTTATTAGTTATCTATATTGATGTCAAATCCAGTGGATTGCCAGTAATGGACTATAATCCGATATGTGTGTTGGTTCCAGTAATGACCTTGTATATGTCTTTATTAGTTATTTATATTGATGTCAAATCCAGTGGATTGCCAGTAATGGACTATAATCCGATATGTGTGTTGGTTCCAGTAATGACCTTGTATATGTCTTTATAAGTTATCTATATTGATGTCAAATCCAGTGGATTGCCAGTAATGGACTATAATCCGATATGTGTGTTGGTTCCAGTAATGACCTTGTATATGTCTTTATTAGTTATCTATATTGATGTCAAATCCAGTGGATTGCCAGTAATGGAGTATAATCCGATATGTGTGTTGGTTCCAGTAATGACCTTGTATATGTCTTTATTAGTTATTTATATTGATGTCAAATCCAGTGGATTGCCAGTAATGGACTATAATCCGATATGTGTGTTGGTTCCAGTAATGACCTTGTATATGTCTTTATTAGTTATTTATATTGATGTCAAATCCAGTGGATTGCCAGTAATGGACTATAATCTGATATGTGTGTTGGTTCCAGTAATGACCTTGTATATGTCTTTATTAGTTATCTATATTGATGTCAAATCTAGTGGATTGCCAGTAATGGACTATAATCCGATATGTGTGTTGGTTCCAATAATGACCTTGTATATGTCTTTATTAGTTATTTATATTGATGTCAAATCCAGTGGATTGCCAGTAATGGACTATAATCCGATATGTGTGGTGGTTCCAGTAATGACCTTGTATATGTCTTTATTAGTTATTTATATTGATGTCAAATCCAGTGGATTGCCAGTAATGGAGTATAATCCGATATGTGTGTTGGTTCCAGTAATGACCTTGTATATGTCTTTATTAGTTATTTATATTGATGTCAAATCCAGTGGATTGCCAGTAATGGACTATAATCCGATATGTGTGTTGGTTCCAGTAATGACCTTGTATATGTCTTTATTAGTTATCTATATTGATGTCAAATCTAGTGGATTGCCAGTAATGGACTATAATCTGATATGTGTGTTGGTTCCAGTAATGACCTTGTATATGTCTTTATTAGTTATCTATATTGATGTAAAATCCAGTGGATTGCCAGTAATGGACTATAATCTGATATGTGTGTTGGTTCCAGTAATGACCTTGTATATGTCTTTATTAGTTATCTATATTGATGTCAAATCTAGTGGATTGCCAGTAATGGACTATAATCCGATATGTGTGTTGGTTCCAATAATGACCTTGTATATGTCTTTATTAGTTATTTATATTGATGTCAAATCCAGTGGATTGCCAGTAATGGACTATAATCCGATATGTGTGTTGGTTCCAATAATGACCTTGTATATGTCTTTATTAGTTATTTATATTGATGTCAAATCCAGTGGATTGCCAGTAATGGACTATAATCCGATATGTGTGTTGGTTCCAATAATGACCTTGTATATGTCTTTATTAGTTATTTATATTGATGTCAAATCCAGTGGATTGCCAGTAATGGACTATAATCCGATATGTGTGGTGGTTCCAGTAATGACCTTGTATATGTCTTTATTAGTTATTTATATTGATGTCAAATCCAGTGGATTGCCAGTAATGGACTATAATCCGATATGTGTGGTGGTTCCAGTAATGACCTTGTATATGTCTTTATTAGTTATTTATATTGATGTCAAATCCAGTGGATTGCCAGTAATGGACTATAATCCGATATGTGTGGTGGTTCCAGTGACTGTCTATCAAGAAAATGAAATTTGACTGTTTCGTTGTTTTTTTGTTTGTCTTTTTTTTTGGTATTTATTGAAATTTATTATATGTTACCTTAAACTGAATATACTGTAAGAAATTCATATTGTTTGTTGAATAGTTTTATATTTTTTTGGGAGACAGATATATAAAAAATTTTCCAAAGTTATTTCCGTATCCCATATTTGAATTTTATGTAAAACTATACTCCTTCATTGTTATAATTTTGCATTAATAAATATTGTTTAAACTAAATTTTAAAGGGAGAAATAGACAATCCTAAAATAATTCTTGTCAACAAATTAAAAGCTTATACATACATTGGGTTATTACAGATAACTTTTTATACTTGATTGATTGATTGGTTGATTGTTGTTTACTTTATATCCAGTGGCAAGTATCTGATGCATATTTAGGACAATCAACCTTGTAAAACATGTACAATAACACAATAATGAAATCTTAATTGAAAGATTTCTTGATTAAGATTTAATTTTAAGGACACCAATACCATAAAAAATGATCTGATCTCTAAACTCAACAGTTCACAAGTACAAAAGTGACACCATGGCATAATTAAGCTTCAACAAAATAATCTGCATATCTTAAAGAGTTGATTGCTGTCCAATAGCAACATACAAACATAAATTATCATATTATATTAGATCATAGCCATCAGCAGAAATAACTTAAATCAGCATGTGGATGTAAAAGTTTAAATATTTATCATTTGATCTAAGATAAATGTGCTCTTAAACATTTAAAATAAAAAAAGGACCAATCAAAACAATACATAGACAATGAATGAACTTAAACTTGGAACTGTGTCAAATGGTTCAAATAAATCAACAGTAAAGATTTAGTACTATGTAAACTTAAAATCATCAAACAGTCAAAATATTTGTCATGATGATTCAACATATCTTTTTAATTTTTTTTAGGTCTGATAAAATCTTTAAAATCATAATAAAAGGGAGATAAATGGTATTAACAAACCATTTCCATTCTAATCTAATTTAAGTTATCTCCCTTTTTCTATACTTGTACAGCCAGGAAAATATATTCTGGACACGTGAAGAAATTTGTAAAGGATTATTCAAATGAAAATTTCTTTTTTGAGCACTTTTAAAAATTTACGACGTAAAAAAGAGATTTTGACAAATACTAGATGTAAATGTACAAGATAACTAGTCAACCTATCTATCCCTAATATTCAAATTCATTTAATATTCCAGCTAATTCTAAAAAAATATTAAAGAGTAGAATAAATTGTTAATATCTATAAGGATCTACTTAGAGCTGTTTTGAACGGTGTTAATAAACTTGTGTACTAACAGCTATTTTGGACAAAGAACTTACAGCTATATTGGACGGTGTAGATGAACTTGTATACTACAGTTATTTTGAACGGTGTAGATGACTTTTATAGTCTATACTACAGTTATTTTGGACTGTGTAGATGAACTTGAATACTTACAGCTATTTTTGACCATGTAGAAAATGAACTTGTATACTTACAGCTATTTTGGACTGTGTAAATGAACTTGTAAACTTAAAGCTATTTTAGAACGTGTAGAAGATGAACTTGTATACTTACAGCTATTTTGGACGGTGTAGATGAACTTGTATCCATGCTGTCTGTTTGATCTACACCATTAACTAGTGGTACACTTCCCCTGCGCTCATTGGGTATCTTTTCATAAGAAGCATCTAAAAAAAATACAAAATGTCTGATTTTAAATGTACTGTGAACTGCTTTGTTTCCATGATAACAATCAGAAAGGATTGAGCAATCTTTAATTGCTGACATACAAGAAGTTCATTAACACCTATTTAAGGTCAACTTAAAATCAAGAAATCCTTTCATTATTTGACATATACCATGTTTTCTTTTTATTTTACAAAGCAAGTTTCATATATGTGTGCAAAGTTTCTGTGTATATTGAAGAATCTGGTTTTAAAACTGTAGCAGGTGTTGATTATACAAAATTGGTATTGTCTTTTGAAAATACAAATGTATGCTGAAAATAACTTATTTCCCAAATCTGGAAAAAAAATCTCGAACAATTATATTATAGAAGCTATATGTACAACTTCTATATGTGTGCAATTATTCTAGCTGTGAAGGATATTCAAGGATACCTTGAAGCACTACCAATCCCAAAGACTAAGCTGTTAGCTAATTTTGTGGATGTTCATTTTTAATTAAAATTAAGACTATTTACTGCATAATATCTAATTTATTAGATCGATATAAAAACTTTATTTTAAATTAGAACTAAGATTTAGTGGTTTTATGATCTTGATGAATACCATCCATACCTGCAGCTATGGTAAGCATGGTAACAGTAAGAATTATCAATTCAGCAGGAAAATTTCAATATTGTGTGGGGCATTACAATTAACCCTAAATACAAAATCAGACAAAAACAGACTTGTATGGTTAAGAGCTTTTGATTTAGAAATACATAAATCAAAATCAGAGCCTGAATCATTCACCTGGAATTTCTTAGGAATATAAAGATAAAGTTTTCAAGATAATAGGCAAAAAAGCAAAAAATCAATAATAACTCATTAAAGATTTTTGTTTTGTTTGCCCTTTTTAGATCTTGTGTTGCTCATCATAATTGCTATTTACAGTTTCTCACTATTTACCAGTTATTGCCAAAAGCACAAATATGGGTAAAAATAATTGAAGGGCAACAACTAAAAGGAGTCCACTGATGATTTCTAAATTGTTAACCTTTTTAATTTTGGCTGTTCTCAATTTAACTGTATCTGCTAAAGTTTGTGGCAAAAAAAGGGTAAAAGGATGAAAATTCCATTGAAGGGCAATAACTCCATCAAGGGGTTGATTGACAATTTTTATCAGACTGACTTATTTGCATATTTTGTCTAGCTGATTATCATTGTTGTTTTAGGTTTCTCTCTATCTTTTATGGATACTACATCTAGATATTAAAATTCAAATTTTTCTCTTTCTACCCAATATAATAGTTTCCAAAATAAAGTTGATTAAAACCCTAATTGAAGTCCAATAACTCCTATAAGGAGTCATCTGATAATTTGGTTCAAAATGGACAGTACATTTTGTATATGTAAATCGTGAAATTCTAAACATTTTTGCTGCTGTAAGATTTTTGGCTATCTTAAATGGTTTTCAAGATATCAGACAATTACTCGCATTTTACCTTTATGTTCTATATTTAGTTTTGGTATGGCCACAAAAACTAAAAATAAAAAAAAGAGATAGTATGCGAGTTGGTTGGTAGTGTTGATCAGAGGAATAAAGATTGTGGTCAAGTTTGGTTCTAACTGGCCCAGTAGTTTCATAATAGAAAATTTTATTAAAAGTTTACAGAATATAGATGATGATGGATGCCAGATGCGAAATGATGGCAATAGCTCACACTGTCCCTTTGGGGCAGGTGTGCTAGAAATGGATACAAGATTGAACAGTAAATATCATAATGTCCAAAATCAAACTTAAACTGTATTGTATGTACCATGTTTAATAACTTCAAAAGATGGTTAATTCAGGTACATCATCTCGTAATCTTTTTTTTATTTAATTTCATAAACTCTAGAATATCAAAGTTTAAAACTGAAATCCAAAATCTTTCCCTGGTCTTTCATGGTCATTGACATTGTATACAAACTGCAAAAGGACATAGTCAAGTATTACTTTAAAAAACTATTTAGAAAACAAAATATATATCTTATCTTTTTTTTTATAAGAAAAGAGGCATAATGTGAAAGCCAAATTTGCACAAAAATTCAAATTAAACCTGTATGTATTTGGTTCATGATATTTTGTAATAAACAGTTGCATCATGAGCACATCTTATGACTGTTCTAGATTCCTGCTTGTTTTGACCAGTGGCTTAAAAAAGTTGTAAATTGAAAGTTACACTCTATATATCTGGTGCACCCATATGGCTTCTACTGATTAACCTTCATCAACAACGGTCAAACCAATAATGATACACAATTACTGGAACGAATGGGGAGCTATATTTCAGCATCCCTCTCCAAAAAAAGTGCATTAGATTTTATAAAGCAAACTTGAATAAAAAATAAATATCTTCTATGTTGAAAGGGATCATGATTTAAAAAATTAAACACTAAGAGTTAAAAATTTCTTAAAGATCCCAAAATTACAAAAAATCAAAAGGATCTCTTCAGCAATATGACCAAATATTTTTGTTTTTTGTCATTAAAAATCACTCTCTGTCCAATTGATAACAATAAAGTCCTATACTTCAGGAACTCCAAACTACAGATATAAATATTACCAAATTCAAAGACAGCTTGCATTTTTAAAACCAAATATTTTGTAAAAACTTTCATAAAGATTGGATTAACTTTCCTGAGCTATTGCATGACAAGCTCATACAGAGAGACAAGCTATGATAAACCACACATTCCAGGATTTTGAAAATGGTGGGCTCGGGGCCTTAAAGTAAGCAACCTTTGGAGTGGGACATGTAAAAAGTCTATGCATCAACCATATATGTAGCTCCATTTAGGGGGGCTGGGCAGCCTAGCCCCCCTCCTAAAACCGCCTTTGAATACCTTTATTGTTGACAAGTATATAAATATTTCATTTAAGTTTGGACAAGAAATAATTCAGTAGCTATCATGAAGCCAAAAGTAGATAAAGTGAAGAAAAAGATGGTTCACTCTATCCCAAGACTGTCACAGGTAGAGAAAGCAATAATCAGTTTATCAATCAACGAAACTGTCACACAAGAGTATTGAAATAAGCATAAAATTTGTTACCCATAAACTTCATGTCTGTATCCATCTTGTAAGTCAGTTAACTTGTCATAAAATCTTTTTTTTTCCCTAATCTTGCTTACAAGTTACAACACTATAAAATAGGATTACTCCTACTTTAAATACTGGTAATTATTTATGTGGGCTGATCAACTTATTCAAAAAAAATTAATTACTGTCACTTATAAAAGAAAACAACACAAACCAGTATGTATATACAGTGGAGAAAATGTCCAAGATGATGTTTTCCGTTTCAGGTATATATCTGGTAGGTATATATCATGCACTTCATCTAATTTCAGTCGTTTAGATGGCATTCCTTTTGAATTTCTTTTGAAGCAATTGTTTAAACAATTCATTTTGAATCAACACTTTTCCAATGTTAAAAGTCCATAAACAAAATTATAATATCCTCATTCCATTAGTACACCACCTAAAATTCAGCCCTCCGTTTTTTAAAGGCATGCATGTATTTTAAAATCAAACTTAAATGTGGTGTATTTAAGTAGAACATTTTGATGTCGTAAGATACACGATTGTCATCATTAATCACATTCTGTCCTCACACCTTTTAATTTTTTTTAAATTTGACCACAAAAATATCTCTTTTAAATTTAATTTCCTTAAAAAATTTGAACTCTTATTTTGATTTAAATTTAAATCTATTTTACAGACAGTTTTATCCATCCATAAACATTTAATATAGAAAACTTGGTCTCCAGACAAGTCATTTTCACATTTTTCTAAATAAGTCTTTATTTGTATCCTTATGAAACACCCATTTCCTGATTAATTTCAATATGTAAGTCTTTTTTAAAACTGAACGACTTTGAACTAAAGTATCCTCTTTGTATTGATAAGTCCTGTTTCATATATCGTCCATGTTACTTCTAATCCAAATAATCTAATATTCCCTCAAATACTAAATGAACAATTCAAAAATAATGTTAACTTCCTAAAAAAAAATAGTCATTGTGAAAGGAACATATGAAATTTTGCATAACTCATTGCATGATTTGTATAAATAGCTAATTGAAATCCACCTTAATTCGGTTACGATTTATAGCCTCAAAAGCAAACATTAGACTATCCCCAATTAGTGATTTACGAAATTACAGGTATTAAATGCATATAACTGCAATGGTATGTTACGGATAAATAAACAAATATATCGGTGTCAAATATCGTATATTTTCAATGGACTGCATTGACAGATTATTAATTCTGGGTATTGATCTTTGCTAGGATGACATCAGCCTCCTAAACTGTCCGCTATATATTTTTTTTTTTAAATTGAATTTACATGACAAATTTGAAACAAAACATAGGAAAATGTTTAGAATAATTTGGAAAAGAATGGAATTGAGTAAACTATTGGATCAATAGAGATATGTAAGGTCATGTATATAACATGTATAAGGATATTGTTCACCCACTACTGAAATATTTATATAATCCTATTGTGTATAATAAAACTGCATATAAATGGTTTACATTCATTTATATTGGTTTGGCATTTATATAATGGTCATGAATACAGACATGATTAGCTTTTCTTTTAACCAGTCAGCTGCTGCTTACAGATGAAATGGAATAGAAAAAAAAAATCATGTCAACAGACTTTTGGCTTTGGAGATATTTATCCTCAATAGATTTTCTAAATGACTCATTTGAAGTTATTTTCAAAGTTCTGGTCTTATAAGCAATTAAAACTCTAAAGGGGGGGGGGGGGGGGGGGGGTAACATAGAATAAGGGAGATAACCCATAAAAAAAATCACTGGTACTTTGTCTCAACCACTTTCATAAATATATCCTCTGAGCTTCTTTAAATAACCTAGATTTTTTTAATTCTGTATCACATGAATGCTTAAAAGCATTGATGACATGACTATTATAAGCATGTACTGATTTTAAAAGTTACCCCCTTAACCAAGGTGTACAATGCTCAACTCTGATTGTATATATACAAGTTAAAGTAAGTTATCCATTTTATAACAACTGTTTTCTTAAAGACAATCTAACTTGTTACATATAAACTGTCACCGTCCCTGATTATTAATTGTATTACTGTTTACCCATGATTTGTCCAGTTATCAATATCCTATTCATGTTTAATTTCCAAAACCTTCAAATTCTCTTAATTATAGATTATTGTAAACTATTGACTAAAAAAATATTCAAATGCAACAGCTGTGATGTAGTGTATTAACCAACTGATCTGTTATGAATTAGTGCAGGTAACATAACACAAAATGTATAGGTATATTCACAATTAGATTTATCCACCTCCAAACATTTGTATTTACTAATCCTGAAAAAGTGCTGAATTTTAGATCCTAAATAGTCTAAGCACCAAGACTTTTAGTCTTTTGCCTTTGGCATTTACTAAATCTGTGAGTAAATCTCCTTTCCAAAAATAAAGTGTGGCATGTAGACTAAATGAATAGCCATGCTTTCTACACCTACCTTTATTAAATAATCCCTTAAAAAACCTTATAAGCCACATGTTGCTGTATTACTGATGGTAGAAAAATTGTCAATTCAGTTGACGGTACTCCTGTATTTTTGAATATACATCTTGAATGATAACCTCTTTAATGTATATATATATATATATATATGTGTATATAACCGCCAATGGTCCACATCAACATTATAGTCATCCAAATACACTAATATTTTTAAAAAAAAAAAAATTAATTTCGAATGTTCTACAATGTTTCACTTTTGATTCCTCCTCATTTTATAATTCATTTTTTTCAAGACCTGACCAACGATTAGAGTCACTGTACTTATAACTTTTTGGCTTGTCTCCTATTTATTAGTTATCTTTCACTATTTCATCTTCCTTGTATCCATTATCAAGATTTTCTTGTTTTTGCTACATTATGATGAAAACAATTAAATCCAACATGTTTGCTCATTTAGTAAAAGAAATCTGTTATTCTGCAGTAATGATAAGGTGTCAATAATTTCTACTACCAATACATAAACACAGTTATCATATCTTATGTCAAAACAATTCCCTATGATAAGGAGAAGGTATTAGAACAAATCCAGTAGTTTGTTTCCAAAGCAAATATCCATATTATTTTTGGCTTTTTAGCTGTTATTAATTTGCTGATTAAATACCCAGGTGTCTTTTATAACCTTAAGCTAGAGTGTTAAAGAAATGGCTTACTAGCTTACAAAGAAAAGTCAGAAGGCCTTAGTCCTGAACACAGTTGTCTTAACTAGAAAACAGAAAAAAAATACAAGGTCATTGAACTTGAAGCATCACATTAATACACCTCCATAAGTGTGTGTTTTTTTACAAAAATAAAACCGATCCATAAGTTTATACTGTAAAAAAAGAACTGGTCTCTGCTAAGTTTACAACCTGGTTTCTATATTCTATATTACAAGTTTATTCTCCACTTATTTCTCATTAATTTGATGCTTGGCTTGTTTCTAAGCTTTTCCAATTCAACAGCAGAGTACACCAGCTTGTGGAAATTGAACATAGATCTCTTTACCCTAACAACTCTATAAATGTCCTTGAATGCTATGTCAAAGATCATATCATTGTAAGTTCACAGGGAAGCCACAGTGTAAGATCTCATCAATGCTGAATATAAGAAAATCAAACCTCTTTTCTCTTCCTTTTATTCATTATTCAGAAATGGTAGATTAAGTCCTGAAGCCTAGACAATTGAAATATTAAAAACTCAAAATCAAAAGTACTTAAGAATGATAAGTTTGATGATAGATTGCTCCTCAATGTCATACATGTAACTCATCAACCATTCCCAGGATACAAGACTTTTGGCAAACAAAATAATTATTTGTGCATTAAGACATCAATTTCCTGATTCATAGTTTATGAATATTCATTCATATCTTTCGCTGCCAAACATTCAATATTCTCTATTGCTGAAAGCGATTAGTATAGGTGCCAGAGATTGTGATTGTCAATTCTCTTCAAAATACTCCCTTCATTTATAATACCAAGGTAAAATACACATTAATCAATAACAAGCATATATAAAGTATGAAATCTGCAGCATTACAGCAAAGTTTCTGTATTGTTTTTTTTTTTGTGCAAAACTATGAACAAGTCATGTCCTAACTACCTTTTGATTACAGCAAAGAATCAACACTCACAGATAAATTATCCTTCTAAGCAGTTTTTGTCAGCTTTTTCATGATCAATCTGTTCTTTTCAAGAAAAACTATAATGCCACACTATTCAACTTGTTTAAAACTAAGACTCATGTATTTGCTTAACTGTAACTGTCCAGATTTGACACTTTTATTTACTCCCACCCCCAAAAATGTACATGTCCACAATCATTCCATTTGAAAACTGACAATGTTGTTTTGTTCATCAAACTGCTAGAATACAGTCTCCGTCATTAAGTGAATTTTCAGATAAACAATTGGTTTTTCGTGTTCCAATGTCACGGTTCTTTGATGTGCTGCTTCAGGAACAACACTGAGTCATACAAAAAACAGAACTTAGATTTATGCAATTATCAAATCCAGTTAGTTTGAAAAATGTCAATCAGATCATACTAAAATCCTATTAGAATAAATATTGCAAAAGTTTGTCACAAATTGATAACAGAAATGTCTCCAAAATTTGATTAAGTTTTTTCCCAGTTCCGATGTAGCAATTTGGTTTTGTTAATTTTGTGTGGTAAGTCAAGTTTATATCTCTCTAACATGTCTAAGGAAAACACCTCCAAAATATTAATTTTTCTGCATTGTACAAAATAGTCTACTTGAAATATGATTGGCAATTACTGGTAATGAATATTGTTTGTTTCATGAACAGCATATTGTTATTGATAATTCTTAATCTGAGGGAATATCAGTTTTCCATATACACATAGATAGAAGGGAACAATATTCTAATTAGGCTCAAAGACCTTTGAACTATAAATAGTGATAATGTATGCCAAATGGAATTACTTTTGATTAATTGTTGCATACTGCTTATTGATTAGAATGGGAAAAAGTCCAATGCAATATTCTTTCCTTGACTGTGACACCGATATGGATAAATAAAAAATGAATCTTGTTGGATTCTTCTGCATTTAAGACAATTGATATAAACATTTTCAGCAGTTAATTTTTCCATCATAATACCAATATAAACAGTTGTGCCATGAGCACATGGGTCTGTCCCCCATACTCTGATAATTATAGTCTCACAACTCATAAGTAATCTGAAATTATTGAAAAAATTAAAAGGGATGAAGCTTCTTCCTTTTCTAAAACTGCTAAAAGTCATTATGAGATTAGGTGAAGGGATCCTGAACTTTGCTTATAACAGACCACAATTGTCTCTATTTTATCAAATAAATGCTCAGACACTCATCTTCAATGTCATTTGAAAGAGAAATTAATATGCAAGTTTGGCTGTACCTGTAGAAAACTTATTTCAAACGGAATAGCATATCCTAAATTTTACGGTGATGTTGTAAACCGAGCCCTGAAATTTAGATAAGAAGATAAGATCCGGGTAAACTTATCAATCCTTTAAATAAACTTATTCTAAATGGTTACCTATTCAACACTGTAATTAAATCTTTAAATATTGTTTTTATTGGCATAAATATTGATTTTGTTATCAGTGAATTAAAACCACACTAATTATTACACATATGTACTTTCACGGTACTATAATCTGTCGATACTTATAGTTTAGCATTGCACGTGGTCATGTTTTTCTCTGACTGTTAATGACGTCTTTACACTAAATGTTGGATGTGTACTGATTGATATTTTAGTCTTAGATACATGATTTTTTTCATTAGTTGTTATTTATTGGCTTTGAACTAGCTATTAGTAACTGCGAGTAATCTCAGATCTGTACTTAGTGTCTATTTGTTTTTGGGATGTATAATTACCCGTCCACATCCACTTTGTGTTTTTGTTAGATGTATTTCTATTTGTATCCATCTGATGAGTTAAGCCTTTTTCATCT